TGTGGGGGGTCTTGTGTGTGTGTGTGTGTGTGTTAGTTTTTTTTTTTTTGCAGTCCCATCGTGGGACTTGCTCTTTTTATTTTTATTTTGGTATATTTTTGAAATGCTGGAACGGATTAATTCTGTTCCCATGCATTTCAATGGGAAATGGTACTTCGACTTATGAACTTTTCGGCGTACGAATGTCCTTCCGGAATGGATTAAGTTCGTAAGTTGAGGGTTGACTGTATAGGACTAACATATTGCCTGCCTTCTTTATCCTACAAAAACTCTCCTCAAGTGACAGGAGATAATACTTATAATTGTTTATTTGACATTTTATTTGCCCACCTCCTCTCATACTCACACTGGGAGAGTATAAAAGTGTGCAGGTCACAGAAATCCATCCATGCCTAGTGGATATGTCCCCTTCCCCACTTTCTGAAATTTTATCAGGCATTTGCACATATTTGCAAGTATATTTTGCAGCCACTGTAGGGCCTAGGAAGGTATTTTAAAAATCAAACTTTAGTTGTCCATTACATCCTGTGCTTTCAACTCTATTTTCACTCAGGTGATATGCAGTTAGGGTGTGGGAAAATGGGATCTTTCTCTTGCTGATAAATATATTGGGTTGCAATACTTACTGGCTCTGAGTATGTTCTCTTTACTGCTGCACCTGGACTGGACCTGCAAAGAGAAGGACAGATCTGATAAGGCAGAACAAGCAGGCACAAGTAACTATGGAAATTTAATGGGCAAGCTCCTGGGACCTGCAGATAGAGGCTACACTCCTTTTTTTAAAAAAAACAAAAACAAAAAAACAAAACATAACCAGTTATATCTGTTACATGACACATATTTAATGATTGTTGGCAAACATGTTTAATTATTGTTGGCTAACAGTTTGTATCAGATATTAACATTTAAACATAACTCAGACTATAAAATGCATTTTGATGAAGAACTTCAGTTTAATAATTTAAAATGCATATTCAATTTCATTTACGGATAAGTCCTAATTTCATTACAAGATTAATGGTGAGAAAAAAGACAAGTAGGTAATTTTTGTATTCTACTTCATAGCACAAATATAGTACAAAATATCAATATAGTAACGTAAAAATTAAGATAGATATGCTTTGACAAAATTCTTTAAGTCTGGTAACCTTAAACAATTTTGTTGCACAAGTGGGTCAGTTACTTTTCCTTGGAGATACAGTGGTGCCTCGCTTAGCGATCGCTCCGCTGAGCGATGAAATCGTTTAGCGATGGGGTTTTGGCCATCGCAAGAGCGATCGCTTAGTGATGGTCCCTAAGGGGAAATCGCTTTGCGATGATCGCGGGGAAGCGATCAGGGCAAAGCGACCCTTTTTAAACAGCTGATCGGCGGTTTCAAAATGGCAGCCAGAAAATAAAATGGCCACCCACTGTGTGTTCTCGCTTTAGAGGCACTGAAAATGGCCACCCCTATGGAGGATCTTCGCATAAGGTTAGTTTTGAAGCCCATAGGAATGCATTAAACGCATTTTAATGCGTTTCTATGGGCTTTTAAAAATTGCTTAGTGATTAAATCGCTTAGCAACATTTTTCCTGGAATGGATTAACGTTGCTATGCGAGGCACCACTGTAGTTCTGTTTGAAATTAGTTTAAAGCAGGGGTGGGCAATTGATTTCTACAGGAGGCCACATGAAAAATCTGACACTGAGCTAACTCTTCTGTTGTCCGTTCCCCCATGGCCTTCCTCTCCGACTGTCTTCTATCCTGCACAGGCGATGTGATGTGTCATCACGTCGCCTGTGCAAGGATTGCTTCCGGCCTCTTGAGCTGCAGGCTTCGCAGCCTGCGGCTCAAGAGTAACAGTCAAAACTCATGAGATCCCAGTGTTGGATCTCATGAGTTTTGCTTACTGCCGTGCTGGGTGACCGGAGCCAGAGCTCCAGCTCATTCAGCAGCGATGGGCAGGCTGGACAGGAGCGGTGACAGGCGGGCCGGACTGGAATGACGACCGGCGGGCTCGACAGGAGCGGCTTGCGGGCCGTATATGGCCCGCAGGCCGCACTTTGCCCAGGTCTGGTTTAAAGAAATACCATGCTTAATGTGTCTTAGCAGTGGTAGTTTACATACACAAAAATGCCAGCACAAACATGGCATATCCTAAATCTATAATTTATGAGTTCCCATGAGGCACTTTGGGGAACTAGGTAGTTTGTAGGTATACAGTACTTAATAAAACAAAAACTATGTTTTGGTGATCTGCACAGCAGGTTGGCTTGTATGTAATGCTAAATCTCAGTTTAGTGTTGCTCCTATAAACCATCTTTTCCTTCATTTATGAGAACAGAAGACCAAAATTTTATATTGTTTTTGTTATGTGCTATCAGATTGCCTCTCACTTATGATGAAGTTATGAAAGAGTGATTTCCAAAAGCTTCTGCCTCTATACTAATAAGAGTTTCATGTTTTATCTGAATTTGGAGAAATCCAGTTAGTTTAAACCAAGATGGAGAAAGCTTTTCCTATGAAGCACTACTGATGTAAAAGAAAAATCAGTCTGAGGTCACAGAAGATGATGGGCAGAACTAGATGCTATGTCACTGAAGTACTGAAGATTCAGAGTGCTCTCTGTCTGTGTGACATCCAATATGAAATAAAGTAACAACCCTCCTTTGTTTACTAACCATAAATTAAACTACCTAGACTTGTGTGAGTTTAAACACATTCTCATATTTGTAAGAATGTTGAAAAGAGGACCTTCCATCTCTCATGCATGCAACACTAAACCATAATTGACTGAACAGGTCTACTCGTTGTCTGACTCTTGCACATATGCTCTAGAAATATATGGAATGGATGCACAAAGAATAATACTTTGATAATGGGTGGACAATGCATGTATATATTGCGGCAGTCAGTAAAAACAGCATTTTTGTTAACTGAGCAAAGTACTATTTTAATGTTTGTGCAATTCCCGTGGAATTGCTTACTGTGTTGTAAATCAAGATTATATGACTACATAATCAGTTATTTTAGACTTTTAGTTAAAATGGCTTGCCTGCAAATTATGTAACACATTTTATTTTCATCCTTATTTAAAGGTATAGTAATGCTTCTAGGAAAGAGTCCAAGTTAAATTTAAGAACTGAGTGGCTGAAATCCTCCTGTGTAAGCTATACCACATGAGGCTGATGATCTCATTAGTTACCACAATTTTCTGAAAATAAAACATTTTCAGTTGCTCCTCTGAATGTTCTGAAGCGTGTGTGGAATCTCTTTCATTGTCAGGGAGACACTGGGAGCTGAAGGGAATCTTTAATTACAGTGGGGTCTTGACTTGAGAACTTAATCCGTATTGGAAGGCGGTTCTCAAGTCAAAAAGTCTGTAAGTCAAGTCTCCATTGACCTACAGTGCATTGAAAACCGATTAATCCCGTAACAGGCTGTTTTTGTTCCATTTTGGTTTTTTTCTGGTCTGTAAGTCAAATCTTAGTCTGCAAGTCAAACCTAAATTTTGCGGCCAGAGAAGTCTGTAACTCAAAAAGTCTGTAAGTCAAGCCGTCTGTAAGTCAAGGGTCCACTGCACTGAAAACTGCTGTTGCTGGTAATGTCATCCCAGCAGTGACAATTTTTTATATTTAAAGAGATCCACCTCCTGTTCTGCGGTCTCCTATGGCTTCCTGATAACAAAAGGGATTCTATGGGATCCTTGAGACCTTTGGGGCAGAAACTGAAAATGTTTTATTTTCAAAAAGCTACCACAGCTGGTGATGTCACCAGTCTTGCATGGTGTATCTTACAGTAACAAGATTTCAGCCACTGTGTATTACAAATATAATTATTTGATTGGATTGAATTCCTACAGCTAACCAGGAAAAACTTCATCAACATAAAACACTTGTCTCATCTGCCTTATATAAATAGAGGGAACTAAGTCAGATGATGCCTGTACCTCTATGCACAAAGACAGAAAGCTAGTTTAGAATCCATGTGGCCCTCATCCATATAAAAGATCTGTGCATGTATCTGAATACATATTGATATCTAAATGAGATAGTAGAAGTTTTATATGTACCACTAATGGCACAGCCTATCATTCAAAATATGTGTGATGTCCGATAAAGAAAAGATGTATCACAAAATTCAGATTCCAGAGTGCAAATGTAGATTTACCTCTAAATGAAACATATTTGATGTGGAAATTAACAGGGGAAAGAGGAATCTGTGATACTATGCCTGCAGTTACTTTTGAACATGTAACAATTATAAACCTGACTTGACGTGGACCAAATAATTAATAAATATAATTAATTTCTAAACCTCTTTCTTTTGTTCCACAGCAGCTTGCCCCAGATGCATCTACATGAATTGGAGTCTACATCATTAACACAAGTCTATTTATTGCAATGGAATAACATATGATAATAATGTTGCAACGTAGAGTGGCATATGGTTGTCCTTCCCTGAAAAAAATGGTCATGTTAAAAAAAAAACCCACACAAAAGCCCCCACTCCATAATACAATTATATTATAAATAAAACATCAATGATGCCACATTTTGGCCCAGAGTTGCTGCCCTGCCCCCAGTAATTACTGAATCAAAGAAATAAATGTTCTAATAGAAGAGGAGACTCCTTAGATCCATTGTAAAACAATTCTGGACCAAAAAGATACAAATGGTACATGTTTGCACTGTGTGTGTTGAGGGCAGGAGAAGAACAGTTGAATTCCACAGAAAAGACAATATATGCAAAAGAAATGGTGCTCACCAGTGGAAAAACAGTAAATGCACTATGTGAAAACATAATTAAACCACATGGACCTAAGGGGGGGAGGTACAAAAACAGAACACAAGCACTTGGATAATCTAGAAAATGATGAATCTAGAAGTAAACATGATCTAGAAGGCATGGTGGGCAAGATGTTAAAAGACAATACTGTAGTGAAATAGAAGTCAAGAGAATCTGCAACAAAGTGTAGAAACAGAAGGAGCTCAAAACCATAGTGCAAAGCAGTGTTTGCTAATGGAAAACAGCTCCTTTGAGTAGAAATAGTTACTCTTGAATCGTAGCCTCTATTCCTTCTGAGTTCATCTTTAAGCCCTTCCAATTTATAGTGGAGCTAGCATATGGACAAAAACAAGAAATTATAATGAACAAAGCAGCTGAGACTTGTAGGCTGACTTATCCAATATTTAAAAAATTCTGAGACTATTACTTTTATGACACTTAAAAGGAAGTAGCTTTTTCCAAAGCAAATTTTGAAAAGAATATTTTTTGGCAGATGAAAACTACTGTAATGAGACATATATGGGCTTTCTGGAGAACCTGGCTACAGACTTAAACTTTTTTTAAAATCAGTCATATGGTTAAAGACCAAGAATTATGAAAAATTATCTGTATACTAATTATAAAAGTAGTAAAGCTACATAGTTGCATGAGATGAAATTATACTACTTATACATTTTACCATTTGCAACCCACTACTGTATACAAGTAATGCACCTACAGTTTAATAATAATGAAATCATTACTAGACAATGCTGCCATTTGATTTATAATGTATGCCAGTGTCATATATTCTAACTTTATTTCAAATCAACTCATTTGAAGTTATTTTATATTTGAAAGGAACCCAAGGTTTTCCAAAACATGAGAAGGGCTTAATGTAACTGTGGAAAGTGACAGAAAC